TTTAGCTAGTTACTTTTTATATACATTCTCAAACAATATTATTTATTTTAGGTAGTCACCTTTTAAATATTTATTCATTCATTCATTTTTAATTTAAAAATATAGAGTACAGAAGAGAGAGGAAAGCAAATTAAAAATTAATAATAATAAAAAAAAATGTTTGACTATGTACAGTGACTATAATCTGCGTAGGCAGTGAAGCACTTATCCAAAATTGTCCTTGATATTTTGTTTTGAGGTTAAAGCTCTCTAGAATAGCTAAAATGTAAAAAGGATCCCGCTTGTCTCAAGTTGAGATCAAGATTAAATCTGTCCAGTTCGGTTTATAGGGTCTATTTTTTTAGGTCCGTTTTGATAATTCAAACCGTTCAATGTGTAGAACTTGTCGAGCACTACATGCCTGTAAAAAATCACGTTGATCAGATATCAATAGCTATGTGATCAAATCAGTTTTGTATAAAAAAATAGACGGTGAAAAAATTAACGGTGGATAAAAAATTGTTTTGTTCACATAGTTACCGATATCCGATTAACGTGATTTTTTACAGACATATAGTACTTGACGAATTCTACACATTGAATGATTCGAATTATCAAAACGAGACTCGTGGTGGGTCCCACAGGCCCAACAGCACGATCCAATCCAATCTTGGACTGGGCCAAAACCATTGCCATGTAAAAATATCTTAATTGTTAGAGATATTCATAAAATTACTATTTTTCTGATCTTGTATGACAATTGAAAAAAAAAAAAATACACACATGTCAAAATAAATAAAATAAACATGTTTAATGATTTATCAGAAGGGGTGGTCGGAGGTGGTGATCGGAGGGTAAGGTGTTAGCTGATGGGAGTTGATGTCAGAAGTGGTAGTTTTAGTGAGGGGTTAAGGCCTTGTTTGTTATAACTTAAAAAAGTTAAAAAGTCACTATCTTATTTAAGCCACTATCTTATTTAAGTCACATCACCTCTTTATTACATTACTTTAAACCTAACTCATATTTTATAAAAAGTCAAAAAGTACACTTATTTAGATCATCTCAAACAATCCCTAAATGTTTTGGGAATGATAGCTTGTGTTTCAAAATAATATGAGAGAGAGAGAGAGAGAGAGAGAGCATTGGTTGCGTTTGGTAGAGTTTTGTAAATATGATTTGAGAGTATGAGTTGTATTTTGAGTTTATGAGTTGTGGAATTATAATTTGAGTGTAGAAAATTTGTTTGTCAAAA